CTTATAATTACGGATTCGTTTGAATTCATTAGTGGAAGAGCTTTATACAGGTTTTCACAAAACCAAATCCAATTATCTGAATTTTCAACAGAGGCAATAGTGAATGCTATAGGAACAAATTTTTCTTCACCTTCAATTGCATTTGCATACAAAAATATACACCCCTATAGCTTGATTTTGAATAGCATGCATCAAGAGTATATACAGTTCTACAATATTTAGCAGCCTTACCCCATGGTCGTAGACAAAGGAATGCACGAGAAAATCGATTTTCAGCATCAGTCTCAAATGAAAAAATACTTCCAGGATTTGCTGTAAGTAAATTATCAAGTAATGGCTTTATATATTGATAACCTTTGTCTATTTATTCTGCTTTACATTTTTTATTAGCAGTTAGACTTCTCCATGCTGCCATATATGATGGTTCAACTCCTGCTTCTGAACGAACACGGTTCACTATATTACGAGATCTAAGCGCAGCAATATCTTCAATTAATGGCGCAGAAAACTTTGTAAGGTATGATCCACATGCTTTAAATGTCTGTATAAGTGTTGGACAATTTTCATCATGTTGAACTAACTTCACAATATAAATGTAACCATCTTTACGTTCGTTAGCAGAAATGGTAAATGGGCATGTACTAGTATTGACCGTAGGACAAACAACAAGGAGCTTTTTTGGTCTATTAGTTTTGAACTTATAGGGCGAAGAAGTTTCAACAGAGTATCTATCCAGAGCAGATCGGACACTTTCCATATTAGTAAATGTCTTTCCAACTTGCAGTATTGTACTTAACATAGTGATAATAAATTGTTGTAAAAATAAAAGCGAAAGATGACTTTAATTAGGTTAAAAGATAAAAAAAAGTTTAATCGATTAAACAAAATTTATATTTATACAAAATCATTAAATTATGTTTAATGATTCATTTTTCATGCATGCAAATTTTCAGGGACCTGATTTGTAATAATTTTTAAAATTTGTGTCCCGATGCATAATTATTTTTAATTCGGGTCCTGATCTATAATTATTTTAATTTTTTGGGACCTTATTTGTAAATTTCCCTTAATTTTAACAGTGAATATCTACGTTCGTTTAGAGCTAGAATTTGCTTTTATGACGATTTTTTTGTTAGTGATCCCAAAAAGTACTTTAAAGTGTATAAATAAGTTACCCGGGCAATTGATTTATATCAGCCAATCAGATAAAGTCGTCCTATGAGGATATTTTAGCAACCAATCAAAACGCTATGCTTCTCATCTCATCTCGTCTCATCTCATCTCAACACCATGCTACTACTGTCTCTTGAATGCCACTGCTTAATTTTCAATTACTTTCGCCACGACTATAAGAATTTATTTTCATTCGCACTTGTAAACCATCAATAATGTAGAATTATTATACCAATATTGTGGAATGAACCAAAAAACTATTTTGAAGATGAAAGAATTATAACCATACTTCTTCTAACGTTAGACCCTGAAGAGCAAGATTCATTGAAGGTTGAGATCCCAAGTCGACCAAAACCACTTTTTGAATATACAAGTTATATCACTTCTGTCACAAATAATTTGTATATTGGAATTAAAAAAATGGGTTACTCTTCATAATAGACGTGAAAAAGTAGCAAAAAAGATTAAAAATCAAATTAAAATTTTTTTAATTAGAATGCTTTTACGAACAGGCAAAAATATTACGCATTTATATCTTGAAGACATTGATTGCGATCAAATAAAGTTTAAGAACACAATAGTTACTTCTGTAGATGTATGTTTACAAGGACAAGGTATTTGTTTTCAATCTAAGGCAATAAATGGATTGATAACGAACCTTGATGAGAATTCTACTTTGACTTCTTTGAATTTCACATAGTTCGACTTGGGATTGAAATGTTTAAAAAATTATTGTTACCTCTTTACAAAAACGAAAACCTAAAGTTAAATTCTTTAGGTATTTATAAATATCAGATTGGTTACGCTGGAGGAAAGGTTTTAGGGAATTTTATTCGCAAAAACACCACGATAGCTTCTTTAAGTATTTGCGGAGATCCACTTATAGAAACTATTGGGTCAAAAGTAGGAAGATATTTAGCAAAGGAACTTGAAGTGAACCATTCGTTGAAAAAATTGAGATTTAAGTATTATGACTTTGGATCAGACGTAAGAAAAGCATTTGCTGATGCTCTTTGTAAAAACACTTCATTGACTTCTCTGGTTCTTTGTTATAATAAACTTGGATCAGAAGGTGGAAAAGCATTAGCTGATGCACTTTGCAAGAATGATACTTTAATATCTTTGGATGTTAGTAATAATGAACTTGGAGTAGAAGGAGGAAAATCATTAGCTGATGCACTTTGTAAAAACATTTCGCTAAAGGATTTGAATCTACAATGTAACAATATTGGATCAGAAGGTAGAAAAGCATTAGCTGATGCATTTTACAAGAACAATACTTTAATATCTTTGAATATTAGTAATAATGAACTTGGAGTAGAAGGAGGAAAATCATTAGCTGATGCATTTCGTAAGAATATTTCGCTAAAAGATTTGGATCTGCAACGTAACAATATTGGATCAAATAAAAAGAAAGCATTAAAAAAAGCATTTCGTGAAAGTACCACGCTGACTTCCTTGAAACTGAAACTGAAACTTTAAATATTCAATCCAGTATAAAATAAAATTGATGTATAGAAATAACAAGTTATTAATAAATCAAAAATAAATTCAATTTCTATAATTTTATAACAAATTACGTATTTAACTTGCATATCATATTTAATTACATTAATGGATTGGATTTACTGTTTTGTACTAGATTTAGTACATTTTTCAAAACTCATAAAAAATCAGAAAATTTTAAAACTTAACTTTTTTTTATATACAAAAATCTGATAAATATTCAAAAATTATTTGGCAATATTTTTTTTCTGTATTAATAATAAAATTATTGTAAAAAAAATTTTTTTAAACTTTGTATTTTTTGTAGTTTTTTTTGTA